GGACTGGGGAGGGACAGCACATGTGTGTTTTTTGTTGTTGTTGTTGTTTGTTTGCTTTTTTCCTCCTGTCACTTCCCAAGAAAATATAAGCTCTGGGAGGAACCTCAGCTGGGATTTCTGCAGAAAATGGCACATTAAAAACTGCTCAGTGGTGTAATTGCGGTGATAAAAATCACAGCCCTAATTGAATGGTTATAGGAGTGCAAGAGCTGACGGGCGGCCTCGCCTCTGGAGCTGCTCCTGTCTGCCCTCCCGTGCAGAGGGGCTGCAGCCTCCTGCTCTCTGAAGACCCTTTTCTCTCCCCAGGACCCCCGCTCTGAGTCCAGCAGCCCCGGTCAGGCACCCAGCAGCCAGCTCCCACCAGCCCGGGACGTGCCCCAGAGCCCTGCCTCCGGTGGTGCCTCCGGTGCCTCCAGCCAGAGCGGGACCCCCCTGCGGCTGCAGGACCAGGGGCTGGTAAGGGGCAGCGCTGGGGCAGCGCGGGCTGTGGGGCAGCAGGGCTTGCGATGGGGACGGGGTTGCTCTGCTGTGCTCGATGCTGAGCGTCCCGCACGGGGGGCAGAGGTTGGTGCCGGCGGGAGAGGTTAATCGTCTGCTAGGCGAGGGCCCAGCTCTGCAGGTATTTTCCATCTGGCTGCCTGCAGGATTCCCCAGAGCTGCTCTGAGCAATTGATTTTTTTTATTATTTTTTATTTTTTCCCTTCCCCCATCACCAAGCACCGGCCCAATTCTCAGATTGAAACATCAGCGAGGGGGAGGGCCAGCTCTGTCACCCCCGGCCCTCCCGGCCGCTGCAGGGAGCCCGAAGCGATTCGTCCTTGCCAGCCCTGGGGTCAGGAGCCGGCTGCGGGCGCGGGGAGCAGCGAGCGGCTGCTCCCCAGGACAATCGGATTAGAGCAGACAAAGCGCCCTGAGCAATCTGCCAGCACAGCACGCAGCTTTGCTCTGTTATTAATTTTTTTTTTTTTCTTTTGCTGGTGTCGACAAAATCCCCAGGCAGAAAAAGAAGAAGAAATAGGAGAGGCATGAAAAAAGAGAGGACTGAACTGGCCGTGGGGACGGGAGAGGCTGGTCACTCCCGAGCTGTCCCTGGCCCCCCCCAGGCGAGGGCAATGTCCCGTGGGGAGCAGCGGAGCCGTGCCCAAGGGGCCCCTTTCCGCAGGGGCTTGCTTGGGGCCGTGCTGCCGGCAGCTGAGGCTGCTCCTCCTTTGCCTTGCAGCCGGACCCCCCAGCCTCCACGTCCTCCGTGTCCCCTCCGCCCCGTGATGCCCTCACACCTGGCCTGGGGCCGAGCTCAGCTGCGCTCCTCCGGCAGCCTCCAGCCAAGGCGCCGGCCATGGACAGCACCGGTGAGCGCCCGGGGCTGGGCTGAGCGGTTTGGCTCCGTGTTACCAAACCACAGCGAACGTGCGCGCTGGTGCATTGCCACGTCCTGAAAGCACAAGGACGGGGGTTCAGCCGTGGTGGAGATTCACCGGATCCTGGGCCAGTCACGCTCCCTCCTCCTGCCTCGCATCCTTCAGGACGTTTCAGGAGTTGGAGGGCTGAGGGCTGGGGGAGAGCTGGGCCCCTGGCCAGCCAAAGGGCACAGGAGGTGTTAGAAGGAGGACAGATAGCACGGTGGGGGGGGTGAACTAAAGCCAGAGTGGAGATGTTAATCCCTTGGCTGGGCTGGAAAATTACAGAGGTTTAGCAAAAATTGACTTGGAATCGATTTCAGTAAGCCCCAAAGCCCCGGTGGCAGGGACACGGGGGCCTCGTGGCCGTGCTGAGGCCCCAGCAGGATGTGGCCCTCTGCTCTCCGGACCCGTGTGCCAGGCCCGTGGCTGCTGGAGCTCAGAGGCCGTCCCCCTCTGCTGCCCAGGCCCGAGCTTTCCTTCTCCTCCTCCTTCTCCTCCTCCTCCTCCTCTCCCTTCAGGGGCTCTCCCTGGGCTCAGGGCCGGGCACCCTTTCCTTTGGGTGCTGCTCTCCCTCTGTGGGCTGGGCCCAGCGGCCGCGTCTCTTCTCCTGCAGCTCTGCGCAGCCCCCTGAGCATCTCCAGCCCCTTCGCCGCCTCCTTTGGGCTGCTGCCCCACGCCGCCCTCAATGGCGAGCTCACGGCCCCCGGCATGTACGTGGGCATCCACCTCCCGCCGCAGGTCAGCAGCACCGTCATGTACGGACGCTCGCCGATGGTAAGTTACCGAGGGACAGCCCCTTGCTGGTGCCTGTCCCCACGGTGCCCACGCAGCTGCAGGGAGCTCATCAGGGGCTGTCCACGGAGATGGGGTCCCTGCTTGGGGGGGGGGGCTTGGTTTGGGCACTGGAGGCTGCAGTGCCCCCTGAGAAGCCCCCGCTGACTCTGGATGTTTGTGGCTGTGTTCTCGGGAGCCCGCTGCTCAGCCTGTGCCCCTTTGTGCAGGTGGCTTTCGAGTCGCATCCTCACCTGAGGGCTTCCGCGCTCCCAGCGTCGCTCTGCACCGTCCCTGCAGGGAAGCCGTAAGTGTGGCTGCGGCAGCGAGGGGCAGGTGGGGGTCTCACACCACAGCTGTGGCCAACACATTTGTTTAATTCCAGCCATTTACTGACAAACAAGGAGCTGGCCATTAGAGCTGACTGCAGCCCTGTTAGCCAGACCACTGCAGGTGCCCCCTGCCCAGCGGGAGCATGGCTGAGGGGAGAACGCAGCTCCTGCACCCCAGCCACCCTCAGGGATTGCTCACGTCTCCCGTCTGTCCCCCTGCAGTGCCTACTCCTTCCATGTCAGCGCCGACGGGCAGATGCAGCCGGTGCCGTTCCCCCCTGACGCCCTCCTGGGCTCTGGCATCCCCCGGCACGCGCGGCAGCTCCACACCCTGGCCCACGGCGAGGTGGTGTGCGCCGTCACCATCAGCAACTCCACGCGCCACGTCTACACCGGGGGCAAGGGCTGCGTGAAGGTGTGGGACGTGGGGCAGCCGGGCACCAAGACGGCCGTGGCTCAGCTGGACTGCTTGGTATGTGGGGGGCAGCAAGTGTTTTGTTTTTTTTGGGGGGAGGAGGGGAGGGAATGCACCCCTGCTAGCATGGAGGGGGTTCGGTCCCCCCACGCCTGTGATGCTGCAGCCATCGGCTCCTTCTTCCCTTGCTGGTCCCTGTGCTTGCCATCCAGAACCGTGACAACTACATCCGCTCCTGCAAGCTGCTCCCCGACGGCCGCAGCCTGATCGTGGGGGGGGAGGCCAGCACCCTGTCCATCTGGGACCTGGCGGCCCCCACGCCCCGCATCAAGGCCGAGCTCACCTCCTCCGCCCCCGCCTGCTACGCCCTGGCCATCAGCCCCGACGCCAAAGTCTGCTTCTCCTGCTGCAGCGACGGCAACATCGTGGTGTGGGACCTGCAGAACCAGACCATGGTGAGGTGCGTGGGGGTCTGGGGCACAAGGAGAGGTCAGCGAGGGAGGAGATGGCTTCTGGGTGGGGGTGGGGAGCAGACAGACAGCCCTGACAGCAGCAGCCTCGCACAATTTCCTCCGCTACCTACGCCCACAGGCAGTTCCAGGGCCACACGGATGGTGCCAGCTGCATCGACATCTCCAACTATGGCACCAAGCTGTGGACGGGGGGGCTGGACAACACGGTGCGGTGCTGGGACCTGCGGGAAGGGCGGCAGCTGCAGCAGCACGACTTCAGCTCCCAGGTAAGGACCGGGGCTGGATGAGCCCCGCGGGGCTGGGTCCTGCCTGCCTGACCTCCCTGCTCCCAGATCTTCTCCCTGGGGCACTGCCCAACGGGTGAGTGGCTGGCGGTGGGCATGGAGAGCAGCAACGTGGAGATCCTGCACGTGAGCAAGCCCGACAAGTACCAGCTGCACCTCCACGAGAGCTGCGTCCTCTCCCTCAAGTTCGCCGCCTGCGGTAGGTGCCTGCGTGGGCTGGGGGCTGCTTAGTGCAGGCTCCGAGCTGCTGGCGCCCTGCAGATCCACTCCGCCAGCAGACCGAGCTTTGTGTCCTGTCCTAGGGAAGTGGTTCGTGAGCACGGGGAAGGACAACCTGCTCAACGCCTGGCGCACGCCCTATGGTGCCAGCATCTTCCAGGTGAGCTGGGGGAGGCGGAGCGGGGAGGGGGTCTGCACCCACCCTGCCCTCACCCCCTGACCCTCATCACTGCTTCCTCTTTCCAGTCCAAAGAGTCCTCCTCCGTGCTGAGCTGTGACATCTCTGTCAATGACAAATTCATTGTCACGGGCTCTGGCGACAAGAAGGCCACGGTGTACGAGGTGGTGTACTGAGGGCCCAGACCCGCCCTGTGCCTGGCTGCGGCAGGAGCAGCTCTGCTGCCCTCCTGCTCCCTCCCCTCTTCTCCCAGCAGCCAGAACCCAGCTGGGGCAGGGGGGTGACACACTGGGGGGCACAGGGGCTTGGGAGGAAGGATCCAGGCACTCCCCGACCTAGGGGATTTGGCAGGGGTACGACCAGGTGCCTGCCAGCCCTGGAGGCCCAGGGCAAGGGAGAAAGGCCAGAGCTCGGCGTTGCTCCCCTGTTACTGCTACTGATTTAACAGCACCGATTTTCTGCTGCAGAACCAGCTGTAAATTATCAGTAAAGAGATGTATTTAACAGTGTTTTCACTTTCTTCCTAATAAAAAGGAACAAAAGCACTGTCAGTGTGGTTGCAGGGGGCTGAGCACCACTCCACATCCGATGAAGCAGGGGCTAGGAGGACACAGCCGTGACCTGCTCCTTGTCCCTTGCCCCAGGGGGAGCTGCTTGGGTTGGGGGGCCAGGCCCTAGAGGGGCTGGAAGGCTCCCCCCGCGGACTGCACCTGGGCCCACAGCCAGGAGCCCCCAGCCCTGCTGCCCCTGCCCACAGCATGGAGCTGCTCGGCTCAGCCCCACCAGCCCCGGCTGCTCCCAGCTCACCCCCTTCCTCCCCAGCCTGCGGCTGCCTCCAGCGTTGGCCTCACCCCTGGGGTGCTGCCGTATGGAGCTGCCACCGACCCCATCCATCCCCCCTCCCTCCCCCAGATGAGGTCCAGTGATGCTGTTTTGGTTGTTTTTATTATTAAATACACTCGAGAAGGCTCATGGAGCTGAGGATGGAGCACCTCCTCCCCTGCATGGCCCAGAGCCTTCACAACAACAAAAAAGTTACATTAAAAAAAAGGTCCCTTGTCCCCACCCCCAGTCCAGACTTAGAAACAACCCCACAACTAAAGCCCCAAACAAGAAGAAAATCCCCAGGAAGGTCCCTGCAAGCAGCAGCTGCCGCCCAGCCCTGCCTGGCTGCGGGGTCCCCTCCGTCCCTTGCTGCCTGCTCCAGCCCTGGGCTGCCAGCTCCCGGGCGGGCAGCGTCCGTCCGTCAGCCCCCGCGGCTGTCTGTCCGTCTGTGCCTGTGGAGTGGCCCCTTCCAGCGGCTGTCCCCTCTTCAGCACTCAGTAAATGACCTCGTAGACCGTAGCTTTCTTGTCCCCCGAGCCAGTCACGATGAACTGGTCGTCGGTGGAGACATCGCAGCTGAGGACGGAGGAGGTTTCCTTGGACTGCAGAGAGGGGGGGGTATGAGCCACAGCCCCACAGCAAGCTCCCCCGGCCCAAGGGGGCCCTGGAGGGAATAAGCTTGGGTACGGGTCAGTTCAGAGCTTCGGGAGCCCCAGGAGCCTCCCCGCTTCCCCTGTGCAGCTGCTCTGCCCACCTGGAAGATGCTGGCGCCGTACGGGGTGCGCCAGGCGTTGAGCAGGTTGTCCTTCCCCGTGCTCACGAACCACTTCCCTGCAGGAGGGACACAAGGGGCACAGGAGCAGCGCCTCACCAAACCGCCCCGGCTGTGTTCCCACAGCTGAACCCAAGGAGGGGACAAGGTGGCAGTGTCTCAGCCCCCTAAAGGAACGACCCCCAGTGTTGGAGGACACAAACTGTGTGTGTGTGTGTGGGGAGGAACAACACCACCGACCCACATCCATCACTCTCAGCCCTGGGGCCACCAGAAGAGCCGGGAGCAGGCACCTACCGCAGGCGGCGAACTTGAGGGAGAGGACGCAGCTCTCGTGGAGGTGCAGCTGGTACTTGTCGGGCTTGCTCACGTGCAGGATCTCCACGTTGCTGCTCTCCATGCCCACCGCCAGCCACTCACCCGTTGGGCAGTGCCCCAGGGAGAAGATCTGGGAGCAGGGAGGTCAGGCAGGCAGGGCCCAGCCCCACAGGGCTCATCCAGCCCCGGTCCTTACCTGGGAGCTGAAGTCGTGCTGCTGCAGCTGCCGCCCTTCCCGCAGGTCCCAGCACCGCACCGTGTTGTCCAGGCCCCCTGTCCACAGCTTGGTGCCATCATTGGAGATGTCGATGCAGCTGGCACCATCCGTGTGGCCCTGGAACTGCCTGGGAGGGGGGACACGAAGGGGGTCAGCACACACCCATCAGGGCTGCCCCCTCCTGTGGCCTGGGGGGCGCTCAGTGCCCCCTGCCCACGCAGGCGCTCACCTGACCAGCGTCTGGTTCTGCAGGTCCCACACCACGATGTTGCCGTCGCTGCAGCAGGAGAAGCAGACTTTGGCGTCGGGGCTGATGGCCAGGGCGTAGCAGGCGGGGGCGGAGGAGGTGAGCTCGGCCTTGATGCGGGGCGTGGGGGCCGCCAGGTCCCAGATGGACAGGGTGCTGGCCTCCCCCCCCACGATCAGGCTGCGGCCGTCGGGGAGCAGCTTGCAGGAGCGGATGTAGTTGTCACGGTTCTGGATGGCAAGCACAGGGACCAGCAAGGGAAGAAGGAGCCGATGGCTGCAGCATCACAGGCGTGGGGGGACCGAACCCCCTCCATGCTAGCAGGGGTGCATTCCCTCCCCTCCTCCCCCCAAAAAAAACAAAACACTTGCTGCCCCCCACATACCAAGCAGTCCAGCTGAGCCACGGCCGTCTTGGTGCCCGGCTGCCCCACGTCCCACACCTTCACGCAGCCCTTGCCCCCGGTGTAGACGTGGCGCGTGGAGTTGCTGATGGTGACGGCGCACACCACCTCGCCGTGGGCCAGGGTGTGGAGCTGCCGCGCGTGCCGGGGGATGCCAGAGCCCAGGAGGGCGTCAGGGGGGAACGGCACCGGCTGCATCTGCCCGTCGGCACTGACATGGAAGGAGTAGGCACTGCAGGGGCACAAGAGTAGTGACAAGGTGAGGCTCCAAGCACAGCTGGCACCACACCGGACCCAGGGTGCCTGGCCTATAAGCACCGTTTGAGGACGGATTTGCATGAGGAGCCGGATCAGTGGCATCTGGGCAGCTAGGAATGGGTGCTCCCAGGGGGCTCACTCCCAGCAGGACACCCTGATCTCCCACCACCGCCCAGCCCGAGACCACTTACGGCTTCCCCGACGTTCCCACTTGCATTCCGGCTGCCAGCCCCGGGACGCGCATGTGTGGGTGGGGGTCGTAGCCAACCTGGAGGGGACACGGGGTGAGAGCAGCTCCCGGCCCATGGCCCCACGCCCCGCAGGGAGGGGGCTCACGCACCAGGGGGGACCGCCCGTAGCTGCCGGCTCCCACAGCGGCTGCGGCCCCGTTGAGCTGTGGGGACACGAGGTGGAGGCTGGCATAGGCGCCAGCCCCAGCCATGTCCCCGTTGACGGCGGGGTGAGCCATGCCAAAGGTGGCAGAGTAGGGGCTCTGCACTCCCAGTGGGGTCCTCAGGCCCAGGGCTGTGAGGGGAGAGGTGGCACAATGGGACGGGGCCGTGGAGCAGGGCCCAGCCCCGCAGGACAACGGCTCAGTGCCACTTGCGGGCGCTGCCCAGGCAGGGCTCACCCAGGGGGTCCACCGGGGCCTTGGGGGCAGCAGGGCGGAACTGCTGGGCACTGCTGGAGCCTGGGGTCGCGGCGTCGCCCTGGGACGTGGGGGTGCTGGACTTGAGGCTGGGTGTCCCTGCCTTCTCCACCTGCCAGAGCAGAGCGGGGGGGGTCACACAGGACCCTCCTCCTGCTGGAGGGAGGGCTCCTGAGGTCCCCAGCGAGCTGGTCCCTAGTGCCCAGCCCTGAACCCAGTGGTGCTGCAGGGGACATGGGATGGGGGTCCAACAGGACAGGGGTCCAACAGGGCAGGGGCCCTCCCCATCCCCCAGGCATCACCCCGCACCCCTGCGGGTTTAGGGCAGTGGGGAAGCGAGCCCCAAGGGCAGCAGCGCACGTACGTACCGTGGGCACATCCTTGCTGCGGGACGGGGACGCGCTGCTCGAGGAGGCCATGGAGGTCGGGCTGAGCGGCACAGCCTCCTTCCTCCCCAGTGGCAGCTTTTCCACCCCGTTCTCACGGGACGAGTAGGAGTGGACGCTGTGCGGGGACGAAGGGTCCTGGGCAGGGGCGGGGGAGATGAGCAGAGCGGGGACGGCCCCAGCCACGCTCCAGCAGCGAGCTGGCGGCTGGGAGCCTGGACCCAGGGGATACCACCACTGCCCCGTGTGCCCCCCTTCGCCTGTAATGTCCCCGTACCCCCACCCCGGGCAGGGGGGCAGGCAGCACCCACAGACCCGGCACCCTGTGCACTGACCTCATCGACCACCAGGTTGTCTTCGCTTTTGTCCGCATCGCTGCCCTGAAACACACGGAAAGGTCGGAGCCAAATGGGCTGGGGCTGCCCAGGGGCCCGGGCAGCTCCTCCCGGCCTGGCGTGGGGATGCACCGAGCCCACCAGCCCCTTCCCTGCACTCACGTAGTCTGTCACAAAGTCCTTCTCCTCCACCTTCCTCTTCTTGCTGTTGCTCAGGTACTCGGAGATGGCTCGCGCCCGCTCCCCGTTGGGCAGCGCCAGGGAGCTCTGGGCAGGGGGAGCTGTGTTAGGGGCAGGGGGGCAGCACTAGGGGCAGGGGGCAGTGCTCTGCTCTCAGAGAGCCAGCACCACGCAGGGCTCCCAGCACACAGAGCCCCGGCGCAGCCTCCACACCAGCAGATGAAGGAGCAGGGACGGGGGCGCTGCTCGGGGCTCTGTGACACCGGGACAGGGACCCCCAGGGACCCCGGCACCCCCCCGGTGGGAGGGAAGCGGCTGCGAGCGACACTTACGGGCCCCGGGTCCCGCTCTGTCTCCATGGCGACGCGGCCGAGCAGCAGGACCGGGAGGGAAGCAGGGACACGGCTGTGCCGCACGGCGCCCGCTGCTCCCGCGGGTGCCGGGGCCTTTGGCCCAGCCCCGCGGCGCTGGCACCGCCGCAGCAGGATCGAGCCTGGCTCGGCCGTCCCCGGCACCCCCGGGAGGTGCCTCTCGGCCGGGGCATCTCACACCAGCCCCCTCGGCCCCCCAAGCCCAGCAGGGCCCCCCCACCCCGGCTCCATCCCGCCGCTCACCCCGGTGCTCAGCGTCGTGGACTCCGCGGTCGTCTTTGGCGAGGAGCTGAGCCTGGGCCCCCAGCGCCCCTGAGAGCGCCAGGAGCCCCGAGGCGCTCCCGAGGCTGGCGAGGCCGGCGGGCTGCATGCCAGAGGGGTGGGGGGTCAGCGGGATGGGGGGCACGTGGTGCGAGAGGTGCTGGGTCTGGAGCTGGTGCTGGAGGGGGGCGGGAGGAGAGAGCAGAGACAAAGGGCCCGGGTCAGGACAGCGGCCAGCAGGGGTTGGGGGCTGAAGGGGGTCAGGCTCCCGGGGCATCCCCAGCCCACCAGGGGTCATCACATCCCACCTGCTGCCACCTCCCACCCTGGGACTGCGGTCCCCTGCCCCAAGACCCCCCACATATCCCGGCCACCACAGCCTCGAGGGAACGAGGGACAGGCAGGGATGGTGCCCCCCCCTCCACACCCACCCAGGGCTGCAGGACACGGCATCGCACCCACGCCCTGCCACCCCATCGCCGTATCACAGTGGTGTCTCTGGGGGCACAGCTGCACCCCCAGCCCCGTTCCCACTGACAGAGCCCCCCCAAACCACCTTGGCTGGGCCCCCCCGACTCAGCTACAGGCAGGGGGCAGGACGGGTCTGCAGCCCTGGGCCGGTGCCAGCTCAGGAGGCGCCGTCACCTGCAGGAGCCCAGCACCCTCCTGGCCAGGGGTGGGGGCAGAGGGTCAACGTACCCCGATGGCCGCGTTCAGGTCGGTCATAGTCACCTGCTTCGCACGCTCCACGGCCTGGACCACTTGCTGCTGGTGCTGGCAGGGAGAGAGGAGAGAGGAGCGAGTCGGCACTGGGCAGCCGGCCCAGCTCCCCAGGGAACTGGGAGAAGCAACCCAAGGGAGGGGGCTGCGGGGGGCTCACCCACCTCCTGAGACAGGAACGGGATGAGCTGGGCGCAGATCACGTTCAGCCGCTTCGCTATCTCCGTCTGCAAGGAGTTGTGGGGGGGGGACACCATCAGGGCAGGGGCAGGGCTGAGACGCCACCAGAGCCCCCTCCCACCAAGGGGCCCCGCTGGCTCCCCAGAGCCGAAACACCCTGAGCAGGACCAGGGAAGCTTCCTAACACCACTGCCTCGAAAAGCAGGAGCCCAGCACCCCGCACGCCCTGCCCCAAAGCCCTGGGACGGATCTGACCTCCTCCAGCCCCCAGGAAAGGCCGGGAGGCCAAGCTCTGCCGGGGCACGGTGCCCCACTGCCCACAGCCAGCGGCAGAGCAGCCCCGGCTGTCCTCCAGCCCAGCAGCAGGGCACAAAGCACAGCGGTGCTTCGTGAACCCTCATGTCTGCATTGCCAAGAGCACTGGGGACGCCCTGGTGCAGGGCTCCAGGTACGGGGCTGCCCCCAGCAGCGCCCTATCCAGAGCAGGGGGACCCCAATGGGGAGGAAGGGAGCACCGTGGGGCTGAGAGGAGAGGGCCCCACGAGGGGACCAGAAGCTGCAGGGCCCCGGTCAGACCCCAGATCTCTCAGCCAAGGACCTTGAGCACATCCAAAGCTGGGGGTGAGGGGGCTGCAGCGCTGCGCGGCCCACACAGGGACACTGAGCCCGGGACACCTTTGTGCCACCCTCCAGCACAGCCACCAACTCATTTCTGCCAGACCCACAGACAGCAGAAACAATCCAGCATCCGCCCTCACTTCCCCTTCCGAGGGAGGAAAAAAGGAGATAGAGAAGAAAGAAAGAGGAGGGGAAAAAAAAGGAAAGAAAAAAAAAAAAAGCAAGCAAGCAAGGAGATTTGGCAGCCGGCAGTTCTGGGAAGGATTTAGCTGTCTCCTGGGGCCGGCAGTGATGGATTCTCTTCCCTAATGCACTGATGGGCAGCAGCTCCTTGGGGAGAGCTGCCTCCAATTCACTCGCACTCGTTAATGTGCAATTTACTGGCACTTTAACGCTCTCAGCATGAAAAATGATCATGCTGTTTGCAGCCCCCCCAGCCACCAGCACCGTCACCTCCCCTCTGGCTGGTGGTAAGCAAGTCCAAGGCCAGGCACATTCGGGGACGTGGTTTTATAAAAAGCTACAGGCCAGTTCCACGCCAAAAACAAAACAACAATAAAAAATTAACATCTCCTGCCCATCCCTGCCTCCAGCATCCCCTGCTGAGCCTGTGGCTGCCTCAAGCACCGTGCCGTGGAGCTGGGCCATCACCCCCAGCCCCATCACCCGCAAAACAAGCCCAGAGCCAACCTGCCCCAGCCCGGGCCAGCACCAGGGGACGCGGGGCTGGGCGACGGCGGCACCGCCCGGGGACCCCCCTGCTTGTGCCAGCACAAAGGAGGCAGCCGCTTCCTGGGAGGCTGCAAGCGCTTGGCCCCGGCCATGGCGCTTCACCAGGCTGGGGGAATGGAGGGCAGGGGGGCACCAGACCCCCCCCGGGGCTCTGACCCCGGCAGCTCCAATGCAGCCCTGCCCCGTGTGATGGCAGAGCGCAGCGGTGTGGGGCCTCCTCACGGCCACGGCCAGCAGCGGGCGGGCGGCCAGCGGCACCGGGGCGAGCATAAACCCAGCCAGGGGATGCCGGCAGGAGGGGAGGACACGGCCGCAGACAGACCCGTGGTGCTCAGGAGATGCCCTCAGTGGGGCCGGCAGCACGGGGCGTGTGAGTGCCCGGCACAGCCCCAGCACCAGCGGGAACGGCCCCAGCACCATGCTGGGGGCCAGGGGCTGACACCCCCGTGCCAGAGCTGGCTCCCACGCAACAGTTGGCTGGAGCACGGGGCCGGGCAGGGAGGGGGCCGGCGGGAGCACGCCTCATCAGGCTCCTCCGCAGCCTTTTTAAAAATAGATGAGAAGAAGCCTTCTGCCTCTGAGCCCAGGAGCAGCTGGTGGCCCAGAGCACGGCTCCGCGAGAGGGGGGGAGGCAGCGAGGGGACGCAGCGAGGGGACGCGTGGCTCCCAGCCCTCCCCCCGCAGGGCACTCCTCAACCCCTGAGGACAACCGGGCACACGAAGGCAGCGAGCAGAGCTCGTCTCCCTGGCACCAAGCCTACCTGTTTGTGCATCTCGATGTTCAGGCCGTAGGACATCTCGTAGTACTGCCAGGAGAGAAGGCAGCGTCAGCGGGCTCGGGGATGGCAAGTCCTCTCCGACGCTGGTGCACGAGCTCAGCCCGACGCCACCGGCGCTGCCGGGCTCCCCAGGGGACCCGCACGGAGGTGGCTTTCGCCTCCCCCTTCCCAAGCTGCTGCAGCTCAAACACCATGGCTTGTTTGGGGGCCAAAGACGGTGCTTTGGAAGCAGGAAGCAGGGCACGGGGCCTGGCCCCACAGCCCAAATACGCGGGGGAGCCGAGGCATCGCGGTGCTGCGCGTCCTTTGATGGCTCAGAGGAGAAACCCCCCAGCAGCCTCGCTCCTTTCAGGTGGAACTCACTAACCATGACATAATGACGCTGGATTTCTGTTTTTTCTGTTGCCAGCTTTTCACATTCTAACTTCAAGCTGTAAAAATAAAGAGAGAGGAGGGAGTGAGCCCCTCTGCGCCCCTCCACCAGGCAAAGGCTCCCGGGCCAGCCATGGCAGAGCCCTCCCCGCACACCGCGTGCTTCAATCTCCTGCTCGCAGGTTGAGCCCCTTCTCCCAGCACAGGCCAAGAAAACCACCTGATGGGGGGTAGGGAAGAGGCTGAGGAGGAAGAGGCGGTGGGCAGTGAGGGGATCCATGTGTCAGGCAACAACCCACAGGGAGCGTTAGTCCCCCTCCCCAGCATCTGCTTCCCAAATGGAGCGAACTACAAAGCCGAGCTGCGTTTCAACCCTTGCTCCAACCGGCTCTGCGGGGAGGGGGCGGCAATCCCGCCCGGCAGCAAGGGGAGCAGAGGGACTGGGGCTCCGCTACACGACAGCTCTGGCATAGCCCAGGAGCCATCTGAGCACCCCCAACCAGCACCACCCCCAGGGCTTTTGGCAGGAGGAGGCCGGCAAGCACAAGCTTCCCCCTCACACGGCATCTTCTCCAGCTACCGCGGCGCTGCCTGGCACAACGGCCCCACGGATGCAGGGAGCCTCCCACTGCCTCCTGCCAGCGCCCAGTGCCGCGGGGAACTGCTGCCTGCCAGCTCCGGGTGAGTGCCCAGTGCCGTGCTGGCACACAGGCTCTGGCAGCTCTCACCTGTGGTATTGGTTCTGCAGGAACTGGAATTCCTCCTTGATGCGGTCCAAGGTCTCGGGGTACGTCAGCTTCAGGGACTGTGGGGTGGCAGGGATGGCGCCGGCAGTGACAGCGGTGCCTGATGCAGCGGAGGGTGCCTGGAGATGGGCCTGGGCACAGGAGGGCACGGCTGGGGTCACAGCTGCTGGCCCGAGCGCCTGGCAGGGCTGGGACTGGGCCAGCACCCCCCGGGCTCACGAGCCCCGAGGGTCCCCACACCCTAGGGAAGGGGCTGCCGGCACAGCGGGGATGGTGGCCCACGCAGGAGGAGGCAGGAGGTATTTCAGCAAAAAGGGGGCACGGCCGGCCACGAAGGGCAATGGCCTTCCACCTGTCCAGTAACGGTTTGGTCACTGGGCCACGAGAGGAGAATTAACAACCGGTGGGATGGGAGGTGTGACCGGGGCGAAGCGTGGCCTGCTCCCACCCCTGCCCTGGGCCAGCAGCAGGGCGCGGGGGCCCCAGGGACCGGGCACTGCCCAGCCCCAGTCGCTTCCCATCCGAGTGCCCCACGTCCAGCCCCAGCCAGCCCCGAGCGCGCAGCGAAGCCGAACTCTGGGGCGTGGACACAGGCCCTGGAGGGATGAGGGCCGCAAGCACCCCGGGCACCCCACCGCAGGGACAGGCACCGGGCGTGGGCAGGGGGCAGCCCGTGGGGTCCCGGCTCCAGAGCGGGCCCGGGGCCAGGCGCGTGGCGAGGGGACGAGGCCGGGGCCACCCGCTCACCGGGGGCCGGTTTTGAGGGAACATCGTTGGCACCGGCTGGGCCCGGGGTCCCTTCCGCCGCTCTGCACCGCGGGTGCGGGCTCAGGCCCGGGGACGTTTTCCAGCTCCGGCTCCGGCCCTGGGGGAAGGAAGACACCGGGAAATGACCCCGCGGGGGCGCCGAGCCCGAGCCCCGGCCCCGCCGCGCCCCCGGCACCGGCACCCGGCCCCCGCCCCGCCGGCCCCGGCCGCGCCGCGCCCCCCGCCCGCATCCCCGCGGGGACCGGGGGGCCCCCGGCTCCTCCCGGGCGCCCCCGCCCGCCGAGCGCCCCTCGCCCCCCCGCGCCGCCCCCGGCCCCGCCGCCCCCCGCGCCGCGCAGACAATGGCCCCGCCGCAGGTACGGCCGCGGGGAGGGCCCGGCCGCGCCGCCGCCCAGCCCCGAGCGGGGCCGGAGCGCGGCCGGCGGGGGCGCGGGGGGCGGGCACGGAGCGGCCCGGCCCGGCCCGGCGGAGACCGAACCGGAGCGGGACGGGGCGGGACGGGACGGGGCGGACCGGGCCGGGACTCACCGCGCTGCTGGCCCCGGCCCCGGTCCCGGCCGCGCGCCCCTGCGGCGGGGCGGGGCCGGGCCGAACCGAACCGAACCGGGCCGGGCTGAGCCGAACCGGGCCGGGCCCCGGCCCCCTCCCCGCCCGCCGCGGCAGCCGCTCTGCGGAGCGCGATCAATGAACGGGCGCCAGCTCCACGTGGGGCCTGGCCCGTGCGGGCGCTCGCCGAGGCGGCCGGCCAATGGGAGCGCCGCGGGAGCGGCCCGCCCCCACGTGGGGCCCGCCGAGCCGCCTTCCTATTGGGCGCCCGGGCCCGGCCGCCAGGAGAATGTGTCAATCAGCGGGAGAGAGGAGACACGGCGCGGGCGGGGGAGCGGCGCTTAACCCCTGCGGTGCCGGGCGGGCGGCGGCGGGGGCAGCGGGCACCGGGGGCAGCGGGGGGCGCCGGGGCCTCGGCGTCCGCGCCCGGGGGTGGTGGCAGCCCCCGGGCCGCCCCCCGCAGGCCCGGTGCAACTGCCCGGCCGTGGGACCCCCCCGGCCCGCGGAGGGCACGGCCCCGGGCCGGGCCGCAGGGGAGGCCCCGGGAGCGGCCCCGCCGTTCCCCCGCCGCGGCCGGGCCGGGCCGGGCCGCGCTCCCCGGGCTTCCACCGCAGGCTCTGCCCCGGCCTCCGCCCGTTCCTGCCCGGCGGTCGGGGCTTTATCTGCTGAACGCCCCGCCGGCCCGAGCGGCCCCCCCGCGCCCCCGACACCTTTCTTGATCCCGAGCCGGAAAAACCCAAACCCCCCCCGCAGCACCGGGCACGGCTTGGGCAGGGCCCCCCGAGCCCCTCCTCGGTCCCCCCCCGCAGCCCCCGGCTTTCCCTCGGGGTCTCTCCGGCGGTTTTCTCCTTTCGGGGAGCTCGGCGCCTTCTGCTCCTGCTGAACCTCGAGGTGAGAGCGGGCCCGGCCTCCCTGCACCGCAGCTCCGTCCCCTCGCTCCCACCGCCACGGCAGGAAGCAAAGCAAAGCAAAGCAAGGCGCTGCGCAGCCCCTTTCCTTCACTCAGATGATGTTTGTCCAGGGAGATGTTGGCTCTGGCCATCCAGAAGGGAAGCTCCCTCCTGCAGCGCTACAATTTGCTGTTAAATGCACCCCTGGCATCAGCAGCGCGTCCGTCCTGTGCCCAGGGGTGGCCACGTGCAAGCGATGGCATCTGCAGCTTGCCTGCTGCGGGGCCAGCACCAGGCTTTGCGCCTACAACAGGAGGGAAAACCACTCGACAGAAAGCAAATCATCCCCACGGGGCCGTGCAGCCACCCCTCCGTGCACATACACAGGCATGGAGCAGTCAGGAAACAAATGTGGTGATGGAGAAGAAAAGCAACAGCCGAAATGTCACCGTTTGATCTGATTTTCTCCTTTCCCCGTTTACTTGCAGCCATTTTGCTCCTCTGGACCAGCCCCATGATCCCCGAGAACCCCGCTGGGGAGGAGCTGGCGTGATTTCCCCCCTGCCTCAGATCCCCGACACCACCAGACCCCGACGCACGGCTGTCCGCACCGGTTCATGTGTGGCAGGGAGTGCAGACGGGAACGAGAGCCTGTCCTCGGGGATGGCAGCGTGCCCCAGGCAGGCCCTGGTGGAACACAGCGATAATAATGATCTCAGCAAAACCACTGAAACAGAGCCACCGCGCCGAGGCCACCCTGCACATGCCTGTGGGGCATCAGGGAGCCCTGGGAGCGATCCCGTGCCAGCCCCTCGGGCAGCAAGTGGGGATCGGCAGCACGAGCCCATCCTGCCGGTGCTGTGGGGCTGGGGCTGGGCAGCTCCCGCTGCCCATGTCCATGCCCTCACATGGGGACCTCTGTGCCCTGCTCCATCTGGGTGAGGCAGGGAAGGAGACATCCCCTGCTGGGGCTGGAAGGGGCTGGGGCTGCCCCCATTCTCCCCACAGCCTGCCTTGGCCCTGCACAGAAGACCCCCTGCTCTGCTGAGGGTGCTGGCTAGGGCTGGAGGGTGGCACAAGAGCGGACTCCCAGCCCATATTATATTTTAAAATGTAATAACAGCACGGTGTCTATTTTCGTAGATGGAACAGATCATTTCTGGAAGAAGGCCATAAATCTCAAAGGGAGGGGAAATAATTTGGCCAAGGTCATGTTAAGGCAGCATCAGTGTTAAAGGGAAAAATATTAAAATAACAACAAAAAAAAGCAGCTGAGGGCTTGGAGTGCTGTGCCATTTTGCCCCCAAGCCCCTTCCCCAGTCTGGGAACCCAGTCCCCTCTGCCCCGTCGCTTCCCAGCAGCACCCCCAGAGCAGAGGGAGCTGGGACGGGAGGGGCTGCCTGGGAGAGCCCCAGGGACCCCAGAGAATGGCCCCAGGCAGGGGCCTGGTGCCTGCACCCTCAGCCCAGCCCAGAGTCAGTGCAGGGCATTGATGGAGGGAAGTGCCACAGGCCCGGCCGTGTCCTGCAGGGAGGGGGGGCGCTGGCAGCCCCCCAGTGACCTTCAGAGCACCCGGGCTGGGCAGTGCTGTCGCTGCCTCCCACCCATGCTGGGAGGTGGAAAGGGGGCAAGAGGCAGGCGCGTGAGGGGCGCTGGGGTACGGCAGTGCCGAGGCGGGGGCTGCTCGTTTATCTGAGGCTCTGGAGCTGGTCCCAGCCAGCTGCGGGGCAGAGAGGTGTGGGGATGGGGAGAGCCCTGCCAAGGGGCCCCGCATCCTGGGGATCTCCTGGAGCACCCCTCGCGTGGGTGCGAGCACCACCTCCTGCAGCCAGCCAGCCAAGGGCCCCGGGCACAGCCGACGGGAACGCTGCCGAGCGGGCACGAGGCCGGAACCCCCCGAGGCCCCCCCCGAGACCCCCCCCGCGGCCTCGCTGTGCTCCCGATGCTTCCGCCGGGCTCAGCCCCGGCAGGTGCCGTCCCCGAGCGCCGCTCGCCCCCCCCTCGGCTGCTCCCGGGACTCCGCTGCTGTCCCCCCGCGCCACAGCGGCCGGGGCCGCCGGCTGGAGCCCCCCCGCGGAGCTGCGCCCCCCCCGCTTCCTCCCCCGGCTGCTTCCCGTCCCCCCCCCCCCCTTTGCATCGCCGTCCAAGCAGCCTTTGTGGCTCCGGGCGGCGTTTCCAGGGTGCGGGGGGCTCGGGGGAGGGGAGCTCAGGGGGGAGGGGGGGCAGCGCGGCCCCCGGCAGCCGCGGGCACGGCCCCGGGCGGGCGCCGAGGGAGCAGCGGCTCCGGGCGGCCCCGGCGCGGCTCCGCCGGGCTCTTGCTGCCCTCTGCCGCCCGCAGCCGCTCCCGGCCGGGGCCTGCCGGGGGTGGGGGGCGGGATGGCGGCGGCCCCCAGCCGCAGGGCGCTCCCCGGGGCCTCGCCCAAGCACCGGCCGCTCACCGCCGGGCCCCCGCAGCCCCCCAGGGGCGCCCTGGGCAGCTCGGGGGGGCTCTGCCCAGCTCTGCCCTCGCGGCTGCCCCCAGGCGGGGAGCTGTCACCGCCGGTGCCCGAAGGGACAGCCCCGCACCTTCGCGTCTCGGTCACCTCCCGGCGTCCCCCCGAGCAGCGACCACCTCGTACCTCCCCCCCCCGCCGCGCACACACGCCGCAGGCTCATCTGCTGGCAGCCTCCTCCTTGTGGCTGCCGGCCAGGGAAGGGGATGTTTAGGGGATGAGTAACATCCTTCCTGGCAAGGCTTCTGCCCGCTCCTGGAAGCGTGCTGGGGGCACCGGGAAGCTCAGCCCCTTTGCCTGCCCCTTACCCCAGTCAGCCAGGGAAAGATGCCAAGAGCAGGAGGCAGCCTGGGGCTGGGGCCAGGGCAAAGGGACGCAGATGGAGCCCATTTGCACCATGGAAGGGGCGGAGGAGTCGCAGGTGCCAGGGAGAGGGGAGAGAGGATGCAGCGTGGCAAGGCAGGAGGCACAGGTTGGGGGAGGCAGCCCAGGCTCCCCCCAGAGCAGGGCTGGAAGCCAGAGCCTGGCTCAGCGCTGCCAGAAACGGCTTATTTTGGAAAGGAGGCGTCTTGGCTGAGCGTACAGTGCGTGGAGCTGCTGACGCTGGGGAACAGGACAGCTCTCGGGGAGCAGCCACTGCTCGCAGGCCGATGCTATTCATCTTCAGCCTGGGGCTGAACCTGACCCAGCAGCACCAGGACCAGATCCCTAACTCCTGAGTCACTGCTGTAGAGGGGTTTGGATGCCCCAGCACGATGCCCAGGGCCACAGCTCACCCTTCCCAAAGCCTGAATGTGAAACAGGCTGGTACCAAGCAGGGAGCCCAGAGCTCTCGCCAGCACAGGGCCGGGTACGACACCAAGCCTTGAGCGGGGAAACTGAGGCACACAAGCTGCTGGGAGCCTTTCACCCCACCCACCAGACTCTGCCCCTCCCCAGCTCCGAGGCCAGCACAGGTTTTGCAGCAGCAGCCAGATCTGCTCCATCCCCAGGCCCAAGGAGCCCCTGCGGGGACAGTGCCCCCCAGCAGCCCCACCGCCTCCTGAGCCGGGGGGCACGGGGGGGCAGGCAGGGGCCGGCAGCAGCCTTGTGGCCCCTCACTGTGCCCAGACGTGGCTCGGGAGCTCCTTCTGTCCTCAGGCTGCCAGAGGCTTGGGACGCACTGAGCCAGGCCCAGGGACAGGCAGCATGGGGACGGAGCAGCCGAGCTGCGGGTGCCCCAGCCCAGCCCCGCCGCACACTGCAGCGTTGTGGCCCAGCTGGTTTTTCCAGAGCTGTATCCAAGGGGTGAAATCAGATCTCAAGGGAAGGGAGCAGGCACGTTCCTGGCTGCGCAGAGGAGCTGTCGAGGCAACGCCAGGAGCTGAGGCAGTCGCTGAGCACCACGGCCCCGGCCCCGGCTGCTGCCCTGGGAGCCCCCATGGAGCCCCCACCCAGGGCAGCGATCCCACGACCCCACGGCCTGGGCTGTGCCTTGCTGCCCCGACTCCTTTGTTTGCAGACTGCAGCAGAGATGCCCTGCCCTCGGGCCCTGGCAGTTCCGCTGCATTGTTTTGTGCCATCAGATACGGAGGGAGCAGCCCCAGAGGACTGGGACAGGAACAGGAACGCTGCTGGGGGTAGGACAACTCTCCCAGGGAAGGAAGAGCAGCGCGAAGCAAGGAAGTTTCCCCCACCCAGGGAAGGTGTTTTTTGGTCAGGGCTTGTCTAGACTTGGAGCAACCGCTGCGTAAGCACATTGAGAGCACGCAGCAAGCCCAGGGCGCACATGGCCCCCACTGTGCCCAGCCAGAAGGGACCTGGCTGCACTAACCGGGGATGGAGCTGGTGGTCTCAGGGGGGGCCCTGGGTCCTCCTGGGCCCTGACCACCACTCCTGGGTACAGCAAAGAGCCTGAGATGTGCCCAGGCAAAGGGGCCACTGGGCTTCCCTGTGCCACGAGAGCCACAGCTCCCCTTGCCCCACACCAAGCATGAGCCCCATCCCTGCCCCGCACACCCCAGCTTCCACAACAGAGCAGCCCCCAGAGCTGGAGCTGCCGCCTTCCCCCGCCGCACTCCTTCAGCAGCAGCAGGACGCAGGCAGCTCCGAGCCTCCCTTGGCTCCAGCACCCGCAGCCAAGGGAGCTGCAGGCACACAGCGTCACTTTTTCCAAGAGGCTCCATCCACCTTCCCTTCCCCCTGCCGCAGCGCTGGGAAGCACAGAGGCTCCTCTAGGGTCAGGGCAGCGTGGGGCTGGGAGCCACACAGCCACACACAGCAGCCCCAGCCCAGCCCCAGGCCCAGGCCAGGCAGGCAGCATGGGCCCCATCCCCAGGGCTTCCCCCATCCTGGCACCCTGCTCCTCGCCTCAGCCAGGCCTCGCACAAAGCTCAGGCCCCACACCAGACCCGTGTTGCAGCCCCCAGGTCTTCTACCTCCCGAGAAGCACCTGAGGGTGCTCCTCTGCCCCACTGCCTCTTGGAGGGAGGGGTGGCAGGAGAACAATTCCCCCCCCCCCCCCAGCAATGTTTTCAACACCTTGACAGGTCCCCCAGCAATCGCTCCAGCTCCATCAGAACACGGCTGCTTCAGTCGGTCCCTGCTGTCCCGTCAATCCCCACTTGAGCCCTGTGTCCCAGCACAACCCCCAGGGGCTCCTCAGCACCCCCCACCCCCACCCCGTGCACAGCAGACACCCCCTGCCGAGGGGCCCTTTGAAGAGGAAGCCCTGAACTCTTCAGCCCATCCACTCCAAGGCCAGAAGCATCCATGGAGCAAGAGAACAGGCCCAAGACAGACATTCTTTAAGGATGATCTAATTTAAAAAACACATTTTTACAAAAACATCATCATGGAAATGCATGTAGTTTAACAAGAGGCCCACAGCTCCAGTGCCAGCTGTAGATCGGAGATGGGGCTGGGACGTGGCCCCCTTCTCACCTTCCCAGGGAGGTAGGAGCCCTGTGCCCAGCTCCACATCCCTCTCCCTCCCCCCCTTTACCACAGAAGATTTCTCCCCTTCCCCCTACCCCCTAAAGGATCAGCTGAAGCTGCAGCAGACAAAGGGTCAGGAGCAGCCCTGCACCCCGAGCCAGGCGCAAGCAGGCGGGCAAGGAGCAGCCTGGGCACCCCGGCCGCTGGCAGCCAGCAGCACTTTTAAAGGTAATCAGGGAGCAGAAGGGCTCTGGCTTGCTCCAATCCTTTCAAAAAAGGCAGTGCAAGCCCAGCAGCTGTCCTCCTCCCCTTGTGCTCATGAGGATTTGTGCTCATAAGGCGGTGTAATTTGACAGGGACAACACGCGTGCAGCACCAGGCAGCCTCAGATGCCCGACGAGTTCGCTCGCTGCTGTTTGCTGGCCCCAAATCCACCCCCCGTGCCGCCCTCCCTCCCCGCCACGCAGCGGGCCGGGAAAGGGGCTGCAGAGCGTGACTCAGGCCGGTGGGACCAGGGCCCCCCCTCCCCACGCTCCCCAGCCCTGCAGAGCCCCAGCTTTGCCGTGTGCCGGAGCCGCGGCACAGCCGGGAGCGGGGCTGGGCAGGGCTGGCGGCAGCGAGGAGCCCGCAGGGAGCACGAGGCGCACGGCCCCCCCCCGGCTGAGGCACGGGGCAGCGTCGGCAGTCTGGGGCGCGTGGCCCGCGCGCAGCTCAGGGGGTGCCCCGGTAGCTGTAGTGATTGTGCTCCAAGTCGCTCCTGGTCAGTGGCAGGCTGGGCCTGCGCTCCGGGTCCTGCCTGTCGCATGGCAGGGGCGGCCGGTGCTTGAAGAAGTCGGAGACGTAGCGGACCTGGAAGAGCCGG